CTTGCTTCTACCAGCATTTCTCTGTACATTTCATATGTCAAGGTTGTAGCTACCTTCACATCCATTGGTTCATCTGACGGTATCTGGACTCCGGCTTGGATGCATAAGTGCATATTCAAAGAGGAATGTGCCAAGCGGAAGTCGCCTCTGCCAGCTGTGATGATATGGAGAATCCTGTCAGAAAGTGTATGAGAAATGGCAAGATTCATCTCACTCATTATTACATAAAGTAAGATTGCCCTCTCTACATTTACATCTGTCAGGTTTGTAGAAGGGATAATTGTAGAGTTGTTAAACTGATGCCAGAATGCAGCTTCTCCAGTCAATGCATGCTTTATCATCTTTTCTGGCACTTGCTCTAAACCTGCTTTCGTTATCCAAGATGAATATAGGCCAGTAATCCCCCTTCTCACTCTATCTGCCACCTCAGGCATATCTTCCCTATATAAATTTCGAGTGGTGGTAGGATGAAGTTTATTAAAAATCGTGGTGAACCGGCAAACATCTCCAACATTATAAGAGGTCTTCAGGAAGGCCTCAATATCTGTGGCTGCAAAAGGGACCTCTTTTCCTCTTGCCCAGCTTACTCGGATAGTGTCAATCCTCTCCCTATCCACATTTGCACAGAATTCCTTCAGAATGAAACTGGAGCTAGGTGCTGCAAATGTTGCCAGTGTGTCCCATTTCCTGCTTTTGATTAGAGCCAAAAGGGAACTGGTCTCGGGGAATGTTTCTAAGGAAATCTGCCTCTCAGGTGTCACCTTCTTAGGCAGGAACCATTGCTCATATCGTTGTTGATGCTCTGCAGATACCAATTAGTGTAACACCCTCCCTTGTATGCATCCAAGAGAGTTGTTTGCTAAGCGGATTAGAGTTCTTTAATCATATTTTAGAGATTGAAAATCACTTTTACAATGCCAATTAAAAACTTATACTTGAAATCGGGTTCGTCACAAAAATCAGAGTATACTTTCAAAGTTTCTCAACTACTGAAAATATAACTTTCCTGGCAGACCTTGCTGTCTTTAAAAATTCGTATAAAATTCACTTCAACGATTCAAAAACATATTCTTTGTTCATGCCATTTTGGATGACCGTTGGACCTAGTACTTTTGAGCACAAATTCACGATTTGGGAACTTGGAGGATAGTTCTTGTAATATTATGGGACTGCTTTGGTGGACCATATTGTGTACCAAGCTTCACTTGAAATTGAATCAAATTGTCAGCATGCTTTAGACACCTTATGTGCGCACCTTAGAGAGTAATATGGAAATTTGCAAAATTAAAAATCATGGGTCCATTTTTATGGTGTTAAAACCTTAGGATCCTTTCGCGGTACACGTTGACAGATTAATGGGAATCTTCATCATAGCCGGATGAAGCTCTTGGCCTTTTGCTACCAGATGTAGCAGTACCTTTGGTTCCGGCCTTTGTACCCTTTTTAGTTTGTTTTCCCTGAAAACCAGAAAAGTACCAAGGCATGTATCTTTATAGAGTGTAATAATTGAAATCAATTATATCCATCAATGCATTGTATGTAAGCCTTTTATGAATAATACCTGAGCTTCATCAAATTCAATTCAACAACCATGTCATATGCAATCATTCCATATATGCATTATACACAACCTTATTGTTATTTAATTCAACTCATGGATTTATAAAGACTTGAGTACAACTGACAGCCTATGAGTGAAAACCTTTTCACCTCAGAAATCGCCGACGCGATTCACGCCAAACCCACGCGAATCGCGCGGTGAGACAGTAAGCCCAAACACATATTATCAGAAAATAGGCACTTGCTTATGGAAACCAAACCTCAATCGCCCAAAACACCCAGAATACCTCACACAATGCACATATTATCACATAGAACATTTAACAAACATGTAATATGCATGCAATACGAAATCATCTAAATCAACCAATCACCATTCTTAGCAATATAAAGCACATACGACAAAACCAAAGTGAAGATTATTACCTTGTCACCTGCCATAGAATGAATAGAAGAAAAGAAGGATGAAACCCAAGGGAGAAAAGCCCCAAACGTGTAAGCCCTAAATGTTACTCAACTTGAATGTAGCCCAAAATGATCCCCAAATGTAACCCAAGGGTTGTGGTTCCACCGTGGGTTTTATAGGAGGGTGGTGTGGGTGGTTATGATGAAAGTGGAGAAGTGGGGGAAAAGGAAAGGAAGATTAGGTGATGGAGGTTGAGGGAATATGGTGGTTCGTGGATGTGTCGGGAATAAGAGAGAGAGAGAGAGAGAGAGAGAGAGAGTAGTGGGATGAGAATGAAGGGAGAAGGGAATTAAAAAGGAGTAGTGGGGTTGGGAGGCTGTTAGGGTTTTGTAAATTTTGAAATTCAAAAAAAACCTCCAAAATCGTTGGGGCGGTTAGCGCGGTATTGGTAAACCCTCCAAAGTCGCCAGCGCTATTAGCGCCAAGACCACGCTGATAACGCGGTGAGACAGGAACAGAAGCAAATTCTCACGCGGATAGCGTGATTGTCACGCGGTGAGCGTGGAAAAAACTGTTGGCGCTACTCGTGCCACTACCACGGCTTTAGCGTGGTAAGACAGTGAGTACCACCCTTTTTCACGCATTTAGCGCTGAATCCACGCGGTTGGCGTGAACTGACAGTAAGCTTAAGGGAATGTTGATTCACCTGGCACGATTAGCGCCATTATCACGCGATTAGTGTAACACCCCGTATATATCCGGTTTGTTATCATATCATCGTATTAAGCCACGCTTAATTTAAAAATACGAAATATCTTTTTCTGTTCAATTATGACGTCATTATCATTAGCCAAGTTGAATTACTTAATTCATTTCATAAAAACATCGCTTGTATGTAAATTGTAAAAGACAGCTAACTGAAATACCTCATAACATAAATGTGAGTATCTAAGTCACGGATTTACAACACGTAGTCCGGACAATATCCTGATACATCAATAATTACAACTGGAAGCAACTAAACATAAAGTCCCACTAAATAAGGCAACAAGCCCCACAGCAGTCTCAACAATAATATCAATATAAGGCCAGAAAACATAAACAACATCCAATATCCAGTCATGTCAGCATACAACATATATAATCAGCTAAGCTCCGGCCTCCTGCCGCCAGAGGTCTCAACCCCCGCATTACCTGAACCTGAAATATGTGCCCCAAACGTGGAGTGAGATCTCTAAAAAGAAATCTCAGTAAGACAAGGGGTCCTCGAGGATCTTCCACCCCAAGCTCACTTACACGAACAATATAAGTTCAAAAGCATTTAACAGTATAAGTTCCAAAACTTTGCAGTGCAACAGATATTCATGCCATAAAGATGATGCCTCCAAATCTTGAAAGCAAACACAATAACAGCCAACTCCAACAAGTCACGTAGGAATGCAAGGTGCCTAGGGTTTTGGGCCAAGTTATGTACTTATAGAGGTTTAAGTCATTAAACACACAGTATTAGCATTAATTTCTATGCTTAGCATTTTAATCCCAAACTTAGGATTCTGAACCCACTCATTTTTCTAAGATTTATCATATTTTTATTTTATTTTTTGCAGCACATTTTCGGTATGCGCTTTTCCATAGCCAGTATCAGTTCTGGCACTAGTTCTCATTATTTTGACTTGAAACTTGTTTGACAATTCCTATATATTATTCTAGTGACATATATTTATAATTTTCTGGGATACGTCATCGGTACGCAATCATACCGAGTAGCAGAACCGGTATCTGCACTTTTCGTTAGAAAAGTGACTTTCAGCATTATTACTCACTTACTATAATTATTTAAGCCTCATAATAATTATTAGGGTCAATTATGGAATTATTTCCTAATTTCACATAATTAATTAATTAACTTCCTTAATTAACGGTGCAGATTCTTACAATTAGCGTGAGTTCACAATTCCCTTTTTAAATGGATTTGCTCCCAAGATGCATGTGACATCAACTTAGTGCTATGAGTAAGGACTTTTAACTATACCTCTTTACCATTTATCTCATGACTCTAAAAATAAAATAAATGACTCGAAACTCTTGGGTTGCCTCCCAAGAAGCGTTTGTTTAACGTCTCGAGCCTGACGAGAATAATTTACGCCTCAGGTGAAGCCAAAGGGACAGAAACTGTGTCCCTACTTACTTGTTCTCCATGATATAATTTCAATCTACACCCATTGACCTTAAAAGGTCTTTCAGCATTTAGAGGTGAGATTTCAACAGTACCATATGGAAATACTTTCTTAACAACAAAAGGACCAAACCAACGAGACTTAAGCTTACCTGGAAACAACCTCAGTTGAGAGTTGTATAGTAATACCTATTGTCCTGGCTCAAAATCTTTTGGTTGAATCTTTTTGTCATGCCACTTCTTTGTCTTTTCTTTGTAAATCCTGGCATTCTCATAAGCTACTAACCTGAACTCATCTAACTTGTTTAATTGCAACAATCTCTTATCATGAGCTTTTGATGGTTCAAAATTTAAAAATTTAATAGCCCACAAAGCTCTATGTTCTAGTTCTACAGGAAGGTGACAAGACTTACCATACACCAGTTGGAATGGTGGCATACCTATTGGTGTTTTGAAAGCAGTCCTGTATGCCCAGTGTGCATCATCTAGTTTCTTAGCCCAATCCTTCCTTGAATTGCCCACTGTCTTCTCCAGAATCCTCTTCAGCTCTCTATTTGAGATTTCGACTTGTCCGCTAGTCTGAGGATGGTATGGGACAGCCGTCACCTTGTGAGTGACGCCATACTTAGTAAGCAAGCTTTCAAACTGCTTGCTGCAGAAATGAGTGCCACCGTCACTGATGATTGCACGAGGAACGCCGAAGCGGGTGAAAATGTTCTTTCGCAAGAAAGGAACTACCACCTTTGCATCATTAGTAGGTAAAGCAACCGTTTCTACCCACTTGGACACGTAATCCACAGCAACCAGGATGTATTGGTTAGAATATGACTTAGGTAATGGTCTCATAAAGTCAATCCCCTAAACATCAAACAATTCCACCTCTAGTATGCAGTTGAGAGGCATCTCATCTTTGCGGGTTATGTTTCCCGTCCTCTGGCACTTATCACATCTCTCTACAAACTCTCGTGCATCCTTGAAAATTGTAGGCCAGTAATACCCACTTTGCAACACCTTCTGTGCAGTCCTGTTGCCTCCAAAATGTCCTCCATAATCAGATGCATGGCAATGCCACAAAATATCTGGCATTTCGAATTCAGCTACACACCTGCGAATAACACCACCAGCACCTTGAAAACAAAGAAAAGGATTATCCCAGTGGTACCTCCTTGTATCATGAAGGAATTTCTTTTTCTGCTGCCAAGTGAGATTATCAGGCATCGACCCAACAGCTTTGTAGTTTGCAAAGTTTGCAAACCATGGATGCATAATTACTGCCATCACTTGCTTATCAGGAAAAGACTCATTGACCTCAATTTCAGGTCCTTCTTGTAAGTTCTTATCTTGAATCCTAGACAAGTGATCAGCAACTTTATTCTCCACTCCAGCTTTGTCTTTGATTTCCAAGTCAAACTCTTGAAACAAGAGCATCCAACGCAGCAAACGTTGCTTTGCATCCTGCTTGGTCATCAAATACTTAAGAGCAACATGGTCAGTAAATACAATAACTTTAGAACCTATCAAATAAGATCTAAATTTATCTAATGCATAAACAACTGCTAGCATCTCTTTTTTCAGTAGTGGCATAATTGGCTTGTGCCTTATTAAAGACCTTGCTAGCATAGTAAATGACATGTAACAACTTGTTCTTACGCTGACCAAGTACTACACCCATAGTGTATCCGCTCGCATCACACATGAGTTCGAACGGAAGACTCCAGTCTGGCGCTGTCATCACAGTCGCCGTGGTAAGCTTTTCCTTTAACACATTGAATGCATTGAGGCAGGCTTCATCAAAAAGGAAGTCTTGTTCTTTCATCAACAGTTGGCTAAGAGGCTTTGCAACTTCAAAAAATCCACGATGAATCTCCGATAAAAACCTGCATGGCCTAAGAAACTTCGCACACCATTAACATTAACGGGAGGGGGAAGTTTTTCAATTAACATCAACTTAACTTTATCAACTTCAATGCCTTTTTCAGAGATTTTGTGGCCTAACACTATACCATCTTGTACCATGAAGTGGCACTTTTCCCAATTTAATACCAGATTAGTTGCCTGACATCTTTTCAAAACTTTAGCTAAATTAACTAAGCATGAATCAAAACAGGAACCAAATACAGAAAAATCATCCATAAACACCTCTAAACATTTTTCTACCATATCAGAGAAGATAGAGAGCCTACACCATTGAAATGTCGCAGGCGCATTGCAGAGGCCGAATGGCATCCTTCTGTAAGCAAAAACTCCGAATGGGCATGTAAAAGATGTTTTCTCCTAATCCTCTGGTGCTACTGGAATTTGGTTGTAGCCGGAATAACCATCCAAGAAGCAATAAAAAGCATAAATAAAGGGAAGAGGAAAATGATCCTTTCTTGTGACATCATTTAGTCTCCTGTAGTCCACTCACATCCTCCAGCACGTAATAGTTCTGGTGGGAATCAACTCATTTTGATCATTTTTCACAACAGTTACTCCTCCTTTCTTTGGAACTGTCTGTACTGGACTCACCCATGCAGTGTCAGAAATTGGGTAAATCATTTCAGCATCCATGAGCTTCATCACTTCCTTGCGGACTACTTCCTTCATTGTGGGGTTTAGTCTCCTCTGAGGCTGTCTCACTGGTTTGACATTGTCTTCCATGAGGATCTTGTGAGTACAGAAAGAAGGGTTTATGCCCTTCAAATCAGAAATAGACCACTCGGTAGCTGTCTTATTCTGCTTGAGTACTTCCAACAAATTTTTCTCTTCATCATAAGACAATTCCTTATTGATGATAACAGGATATTGTTCTTCATCTCCTAAGAAGGCGTATTTCAGAGTTTCAAGTAACTCTTTTAATTCTACTTTTGGTGCCAATGTAACTGAGTTATCTTCTTTCTTTTCTAGCACCTCAAAGACAACATCTCGCTCTTCTTGTGGAGTAACTTCATCTAGAGCCTCCAACTCATCTCCAAGCTCTTGATCATCAATCTTCTCTTCTTTGACTACTTCGTCAAACACATCAAGTCTGAAGCAGTCACTCTGGTCAGATGAGTTTTTCATAGCATCAAACACATTGATAGTGATTGTCTCATCATTCATCCGTAGCTCGAGCTTTCCTTGTTCTACATCAATCATATCTCGAGTTGTGGCCAAGAACGGCCTTCCCAGTAAAAGGTATTTCACTCTCTTCCTCCATATCCAACATAATGAAATCGGCAGGGAAGATAAACTTGTCAACCTTGACAAGGACATCTTCTATGACTCCATTAGCTCTCCTTAACGAACGGTCAGCCAGTTGTAAAGAGACCATGGTTGGCTTCAACTCAGAATTTCCCAATGATTTGCATATTGACAATGGCATCATATTGATGCTTGCCCCAAGATCACAAAGTGCCCGGCCAACATTGGTGTTGCCTATCGCAATTGGGATGTTGAAACTCCCAGGATCTCGAAGCTTTGGTGGGAACTTCTTCTATATAATGGCACTGCACTCTTTAGTAAGTGCTACTATCTCACAATCCTGCAAATTATGCTTTCTAGACAATAAATCTTTCATGAACTTAGCATAGTTAGGCATATTAGCTAAAGTTTCAGCAAAAGGAATATTAATATGCAACTTTTTAAACATATCTAAAAGCCTGGCATACTGTTGTTTCTGTGCCTGCTGCTTGAGCTTCATAGGATAAGGAGGTTTCTCAAACCGAGAAAAATCCATCGGTTTCTTTGGAGCTTCAACATATTTCTCCTTTGCCTCTTCTTTTTCTTGCCTTGCAGGTTCTCCTTTCTCACTTGCATGTGTTTCCACCTCTTTTTCACGCTCTGGCTCAATTAATGGTTCATTGACTTTCTTTTGTTGAACCACTTTTGGCTTGTCTTGAGGAGTAATCACAATCTCATTCCTAGTTACAATGGATTTGCAGTCTTCCTTAGGATTCACAATAGTATCTCTAGGGAACTTCCCTTGAGCTCTTTCAGCTAACTGCCTAGACAACTGGCCTATCTGACTCTCCAAGTTCCAGATGGAAGCATCTTGTTCTTGTGGTAGGCTCTTGTCTCATTTATAAAGGCATCAGTGGTTTGCATATGATCATTTGTGGTCTTGGAAAGCTGCGACATTACTTTCTCCAATTCTGATGGCTCTTTATGTGGAAGAGAAGGAGGTTACAGGTAATTGTTGGATTTATAATCCAAGCCTCCCCCTTGATTTCACCTATGAAAGTTGCTCCCTTGGGCGCCATTCTGATTCCTCTGGAAACTTTGGGTATTCTGTGGTGGCCTTAGATCATACCAAACTCCATTTACCTGGAACGGTTCAGCTCCATTGAGTGTCGGGCACTCATTAGTATCATACATCTCTTTGCAGTACTCACAATTAAATACATTAACTTTAGCTGTTGAGATCTGCATTTTATCTAGCTTGGCATTCATACTGGCTAGCTGTTGAGAGATCACCTTTTGCTTAGCCAGTGATGCATCATTGTTCCCCAATTGTAAGATTCCTTTCTTGGGCTGAACAGGTTGGGCTATCATAGATGCATTTCATTCCTTGCCATACAATCAATCAGCTCTAAGGTTTGAGCTGTTGTCTTCTTTCCTATAGTTCCACCATTGATAATCATTCTGGAGTTTGGTGTCACCCCATTATAGAAGACTCTAACCTTCTTGGTATCTGGCAAGTCATATTGTGGGCACTTTCTGATCAACTCCTGGAATCGGGTCCAGGCTGCACATAAGGTCTCTCCTGGTTGTTGAGTAAAATTGGTGATTTCGTTCACCAACTTATTGTACTTTTCCATGGAAAAGTGCTCAGCAAAGAATTTGGCTGCTAACTCGTCCCATGTGCGGATACTGTTAGGAGCCTGTCGATCTAACCATTTGAGAGCTCCCCCGATCAAAGAAAACGGAAATAATCGGAGTCTGATCGCATCATTTGTCACTCCGTTGTGCTTAGCTATATCACAGATTCTTAAAAATCTGCCTATGAAGTCGTGAGGATCTTCATAGTCTTCCCCACCAAACTGAGTTTTCTCCACCAATGTGATTAGTGATGGTTGGATGTCATAGTTATTGGCATTAATCGGTGGCTTGACAATGCTAGAGTTTGGCCTTGTGAATTGTGAGGCCAAAACTGATTCCATCAACTCATCCGCCGGTGGATCTTGAGCTTCCATCTCTGTTTCTACTTCAAATTGTCGAGTCAAAATTTCTGCTTGCCTCCTTTGCCTGGTAAGTTGTCTTAATCTTTTTGCAGTCCTTTCTATCTACAGATCGTAGATCAAAGTTTCAGGATCAACTGTACCACGCATAAACTAAAACAAACAGATTAGTAACACAAAATCCAATCAAGAAATCAAAAGTTATAAATAAACTTGGCGTAGTCAATCCCCGGCAACGGCGCCAAAAACTTGTTGCGTAAAATCGGCAAGTGTACTGATCGTTCCAAGTAATAAAATGATGAGTAGAGTATCGTCTCCACGAGGATTGAGGCACCAAAGTTATTATAACTATTCCTATCTTGTTGGATTAATAAAATTGATTTGAGAATAATTGTGATTATAAAAGTGAGAACAATTTAAAAACTTGTGAACAATTCAAAGATGTCTTTAAAACAAGTTTTGAGAATAACAGATTAAGGTTGAGAAAATAATTAAAAGAATATTGTGGTAAAAGACGCCAACACCTTTATGATCCCCACCTTGCAATATTAATTAATGTTTACATTTAATTTAACCATTGATCAAACAATTCACCATATGTTAATTAATTAGTTAAGCCCTAATTCCTTAGTGATCTTAACTTTATTAACCCTATTAGAATCCTAATCCCTTAGAAATTCCTTTTTAAGTTAAGCCTTTTAAATCAGTGAATCTTTCAGGTTTGCAATTCATGTAGCCTATCCCTAGTGCGTACATGAATTGTTATTTTACCCTTTGTTTGGAACTAGAATCTCAATATTCCTACTGAAAACCCTAACCCTCGCAATCTTAATAGAGTGATCGGTTCTAAACGAATTATAAGATGAAGAACGGGATAAAATAAATGCAATCGAAATAATTAAATATAAAATTTAACCAAACTACAAGGTGTTCACATCAAGGGTTGTGACCCTTACCACAATAATAAAAGACTAGCCAGACATGTTCATGTCTGACAATTTAATGTAAGAAAAAGAAATCATGAATAAAACAATAACCAGAATATTTGGAGAAGAAGAAAGCTTGAATCTTCAATTCAAAAGCTTGCTTCGATTTCTACCTCTGTATTCTTCCCGTGCAAAGTTTTTTTCTTAGGGTTTCTGACTCCTTTTTATATCCAATGACTCAATCAGGTCAAAATCTTTTTTCAGATATGATTTCTGTTTCTGTTTTTATCCAAATCTATAATTCAGAAAACTGACAGCGCGATGCCGCGCGATTAGCGCCAGATCCACGCTAATCGCGCGGTGAACCAGTGGAGAAGCCTTGTGCTTGGCGCGACTAGCGTGAAGCTCATGCTATTAGCGCGAAGTTGCATTGTGTTGGCTCTCTTTCCTTGGTCTGGTGCCATCCTCTTGTTATCGCGTGAAGTAGTTGTTCTCACATAGCTTATTTCCATGCTTTCCTCGTATAGAAATATAAAACCAGAGTGAAAGAGTGCCTGAAAGTAGATTATCAATAATTCACTAAAATCATGCTTTTTATCACTGAATTACTGTCAAATCCTCGTCCTTTTAACTCTAAAATACCTATATGTTGAAGGCACATCAGGCCCATTATTAAAGGATAAAAAAAATAAAAATGAGTGGATTTTGAAATGAGATAACATGAGATAATTACCTCATGTAAAATAAGAGTAATATTTTCCTATTATAAAATCGTTCGTGTACCAAAACATGGTTTGTCTTTTACAGAGTTGGTTCATTATATATTAAAGTTTATCAATAAATGGTCTAGAGTTTGATCCATAGTATAACAATTTTCACCACGGCACAAAAATTCATATTCGAATTAATTTGTTTTTAAATTCGTATAGTGTTTGTATTTACAAAAATTAACTCGAAAAAATTATTACTTGTCAACCTACAAATGCAAAATTAACTTACATTAATCGTATTCTAAGTTATTTGTATCGTGTTGTATGAATACGACATTTTGTAAATGTAGCATTCAATATATAAGTTATTCATTTCTAGCTTGTTATATTGTATCAAGCTGCATAATAAATGATACACTTTGAGATTAGTGGATTATTATAGTGTGTTTTGTCTTGTTAACCCACAAAATAAATGGATCATATTCATGTTGAAGGCTTTGACTCATTTTTTAAATTTGTGTTATGTCATTTCAAAATTGCCTCCTTTACTTGTTGCCTCATTCGCCTAATTAAAAAAAATTACATACAAGGTAAGCAAAAATTAAAAAAGGTTTTTGTGGCATGCGAAGAGGTATAATAAAAATTTTCATATGCCTTTACTCATGGCTTAATCTTTTGAGAGAATTGATTGTGCAATATGGTTTCAGAGAATACAGATAAATGGTCTAAAGTTCGATCAATTTTGCCCATTTTCTTTTAATAAAAAGTTAAATGTCAACATAAAGTAAACCAAAAAAAGGCTTGTGCATTATCTACACTTTAAAATAAAAGTTTCTTCATAAGGAGGCATGTTAAGAAATATATGTACCTTCACCTAACGACTTAAGTTTTTGAGAAAATTCGTTAAAAAAATTATTCTACATTTGATTTGAGTTGCAAGACAAATACAATAATATAATAAGAAACGAGCAATAAGATAATTTTTTGGGTTGTGAAATATTTTATGATAGAATAATGTAAAATTTATTGTAATACTTTTGCCCATTACTTATCTAATATTTTCAACTAGGGCTAGCCTGGGCTGGGCTTGGAAGGTAGGACTTTTACAACCCATTCCCAAAAGCGGGCGGGGTGAGCTGACTCATTTTTTGACGGGTAGATGGCGGGAAGGGGCGGGGTAGGTCAGTGTAAAACACATATTGGGGCTAGCGGACCAACCTGCCCCCTGCCAAACATAGTTTTTTAGCCCACTTTCAAATTTAGAGCGGGGTGAGCTCACTCATTTTTTGGTGGATTGATGATGGGGC